TGTTGAGAAAGGTCTCGTAAGTTTCCACTTGGATACAGGGGCCACGGTCAACAGTTTACCGAAGAAAAACTGTCCTTGAGTGCAGTGTGACAAAAGCACAACACTGTCTTAAAAAGTGGAACGGCACAAAATTACATCCGAAAGGTAGTGTCACGTTGAATATCATCAATCCGAAGGCTGGAACCAGCCAGCAGCTCACGTTTGCCGTCGTACAGGGGGATTTTGTGCCCATCCTGAGTGTTGATTCCAATCAGCAACTTGGTTTCGTTTCTTTTAATCGAGAACGTTTTGTGCATTCATGTGTTAGCTATGGATATCGTTCACCATTATCCTAAATTTTTAGCGAAGGATTGGGGAGATTCGACGGCTGTATACCTCTATTGCCAAATGAGTCTGCTGTTCCAGTGGCTTTGCCTGCTAGAAAGGTGCCGGTGGAGCCGCGCCTGACTGTACTCAGCGCTATAACTAAAGTTGACGATCCCACAGATTGGGTCAGTCAAGTGGCAAATGTTACCAGGAAGCCTCAGCTGGCGTGCCTGTGTTGCATCCTACGGACACTAACATACCGGTGTGCGATAGCGCAGGCAATGAAGGACATTGGAGAATGCAGCGTAGCAAAAAGGAGAAGACAATTGCCAATAACCAGCGGAGTTATAACCTTATGATATTTCACGAACCTAAGTCGACGGATGACAATCCTCAAGCTCGTTAGGACTACGACGCGGATTTTCTGCAGAGCCTTAATAATAGGCATACCGATGTTATGAACAGGGGTTTCGGGTGAAGTAAAGAGAGAGGAGAAGTCCCGGCCTATACGAGTAACATTTGTTGATGAAGCGAGTCCGTGGCTGATATTAACCCGCCTCGGGAGGCTAAGAGACCTAAAGATCGATATTCGTCCAGATTAGAATCCGTCGGACAGAGAGAAACTGAAGTTCGCTAGAATGTTCAAGCGGCGGAGAGACAGCGGAGAAACCAATCTCCACGTTGCAAATTTTTGGGTAGTTGTCCGAGTCCGTCGAGCCCAAATCCACAAGTCGATGACGCTTCGTGCGCGCCCTGCGCGTACCCTTCACAAATGTTTGTAGTTTAATGAACAAAGGTGACGATGTATATCACTTCGTTGTCTCTCGTCGTCCGGAGGTACTAGGACTGGCCGCAACCTGGTTAAACCCTGAGGTCACTACCCAGGAAGCCCAGATCAGTCGCTACTCGTGCTTTCAGTGGGACAGACTATCAAACGATCAAGGCATCGTGTTGTCATACATTCGGTTCTCGCTGTGCCGGAGACTGGTAAATACCTGCAGCAGCAATGATGGTCTGTGCGAACAGTTATGGTGCTCGATTCGCCTGAGACATCATGAACTGATTGTGGGTGTGGCTTATCGCAACCCGCGAAGTAGATGTCTGGTTTGGTTGCTGCAGTGGAAAACTACCTGGGTCGGCCCCGCTTCCTGCCCATGGGCGATTTTAACTTCATCAAATACCGTGGCCTTAGATTCAACTTCTCCCCGGACACTGCGAAGTCAAGGAACAGTTTGCAGTGATGATATTTGAAACTGGAGGAGCATAACATGGCTGTCAACTGACGCGCGTTATACCGCATTCCGCTCCATCGTTGAGAGCAACGCATATATGAAATTCAGGTCCTAGAAACTCTGGCAGCCAATGATCACTCGATGGTGTTAGCAAGCCTAGAGGTGCCGCTGCCCTACTCGCGTCAGCCGGAGCCGTCCTACATTAAACAGAAGACCGACTTCGATGGCCTCAATCGAGGCGCCAGTGCAGTGGACTAGTCGCTGCCGCAGAATTCATCTGTTGAGGCCTGTTGGTTTTTTATTTTTTTTAAAGAGTGTGCAATCGCTGTGCGCTCGTTTGGTACCCCTCAAATATCGGAAAGCTGAACCAGTGAAGCCACATTAGTTTGACAGAGAGTATGGCCAATCCGCTCGACGGTGACGCGCATTGTGGAATAAATTCCCCGTGTCTGGCTCTGCCGACGATTATGAGGCGGATGAAAGACAGCGAAATATATGCAACAGTGCAAATGCGTCGGCATTTCGAAGAGCAGCTTGCAACCTCAGGGAAGACAGCCCCAAACAAGATGTTTGCTTATGTGAAGCGGCACCTGAGGCCCGCAAGTGACCTAGCTGTGTTAGAGGGCACTGACGGACAGCCCCTGACCTCCAGTACTGAACGTGCGTCCGCATTGGTAGAGCACTTCGCTTCCCTACTTACAAGTGGGCATGCGCCTATGCCGAGCTCGAGGTGAACAGCCCTTACTGAACTCGAAGGCTCGGAGTACGGTGCAGAAAATGTTCGCAGTCTACTCGCCAGTCCTGACGGCACGAAACCTGTCGGATCTGATGGACTTCACTCGCTAATTTTAAAGTCCTTATCCGCCATCACGTCGCCTGCCATAACCGAGCTATTCCACATATCATTGTCCGAAGGTACATCGTCGATCGACTGGAAATGCTCGGTAGTGAAGCCGGTTCTATAAGGCAGTGACCCAAGCAATGAGAATAATTACTGGTCGATTCGTCTCCCCTCTGTTTTGGCGATGCTCGAGAAAAAAGTGTTTTGTAGCTGCTGGAATCGAAAAATCTAATGCAGGCACAGCAAGGCTTCATGAAGGGCCGCCCGTGCATCATCAACTTGCTGTTGACGCGGCAGAAATGGTTGCAAGCGTTGAACCGGGGGAAGTCAGTGGATGTTCTCTACATTGATTTCAGTAAAGCCTTTGATAGTGAGACATGAGGCCCTGCTCCCCAAGCTGAGGATGAGTGGTGTTGGTGGCGCACCGCGCCAGTGGATCAATGATTTCCTTACAGAGAGAAGATGGTGGGTACAAGTGGATGACCACCAAACGGAATGGTACCCGTCCACTAGCGGCGTACCCCAAGGCACAGTGCTAGGGTCCATTTTATTCCTGATCCACATGAACGAAGTGCCTCAGCTTTTTCGGTCGCCTTGTGCACCGTTTGTAAACGACTTGAAGATTTGGAGGGCTATTGATTCTCCCGACGTCTGTGACGTCCATCAGAAGGACCTCGACCGCCTATCTCAGTGGTTTGCAGAAGTTAACCTACCGGTCAGCCCAGAGGGAGGGTAATGGGCGTGAGTACATCCTGGCCGGCCACTCGCTGCATTCAACCAGTTCCGTAAAAGAAGCTAGGCGTACTCTGAAGTTAGTCGACAACAAGAACAGACTACGCAAATGGATTACGCCTGATTTGGGCACTTAGAGGCAGCTTCTGTACTTGGTCCAAAGAGATTGCCACCCGTCTGTTCGCTTCCATGATAAGGACTGGTGCTTGAGTACGGCTCACCCGCTTATTGACCGATAACAATTGGCGAGGTGCAGACTGGAACGGGTCCAACAGGTAAATACCCGGCTCATCCCCAGTTTACGTGGTATGTCGAACGAGGACTAGGGCTATATACCATGTCATATCGTCCGTTTCGAGTTGATCTCATTATGACACACTGAATACTATACCTGAGCCACTTCCTTATGTTGAGGCCGCTACTCTCCATTCGTGCACCAAGCAGCACACGCGGACACCGATACAAAGTAGTGATACCGGATTTAAAGCGCATCGTTCACCCTCTACACTTCGAGCGTCGAGTGGCAAAATATTGGAAGGAGTTGCCGGAGACGCTAGTCGAGGCGAAATCGGTGTCCGAATTTAGGAGATTCCTTGACGTCCACTTCGCGGACTACTGGTATCAGGAGCGTATTGCACCCGGATAAAACGTAGTGCAGCTGCAACATGCTGCCACCAAGCAGGAATCAGCGACGTGATTCTGCGCTTGTGCCCGATCCACCTACGATGGGGTAACAGAGGTTTTTATCTTCTCGCTCTCTATTCTCAGTATTCAGTATTCACCATCATCAGCGATACACTTTAGCTGAGAGTGAAAAACATACCTCAGCTAATGTACTGTAATACAAAAAGATCAGATATAAAGATAACAAAAGACGAAATTTAAAGAAGTAATATGAGGATAAATATCATCTTATGCCTTTGGCACAAGATCACTGTCCAAGATAGAAGCTGAAGGGGAGGAGAGGCAAAAAGGAACAGCACAAACGTCATTGAAGTCGGCGCTTTGACATAGCAAGTAGTGTATCTAACCAGGCGTGTTCATAGTCCTTTGGACCCCAGCCCGGCAGTCGGGAGAGAGCAACCGATACCAGATAGACCTCGGTGACAGGGCTTTGGTTGGCGCACTTAAAGAGAGGGACCTGAGCAGTACCCCGGCACACAGTACCGAAGCTTCGCTGCCGCGTAATCACAAGTCGCAGGTGGGCTATATACACTGCAAGAGTCGCCCGGTCCCTAAGCAGGCTCGAACTCGCGCCCTCGAATTACAAGGTAGACTTGTGATCCTTAAGACTACGGGCCAGACTTAAAAGAACTGAACAAGATTGCGGGGCCATTTTGAAGTACACGTTGTGTGACTGGACCGTAACGTGCAAGCTCAATGTAGACCGTGATTTGCACTGCAGTGAACCTTGGTCATTCTGATCACTAGGACCGTAGCTGAAGCAGAAGGAAAATGGGTGTTGCCCGCCTGAAAACACTGCACACTAAGAAACGTTTCGACCTTATTTAATCCCATTAGGTGTAGACATGAGGCCTCGAACTCGGAGCACGTGGAATAGTAGCCGAACCCCCTACTCCTTTGGCTACCGGGTCAATGAACAGTACATCAATCACGAAACATTTAGAGATGACAGCAGTAATCAAACTAGAGTGCTCAGCAGGAGTGCCATCGCTCTATTACGTTTGTAAGCGCACGAAGTTAAGGCAGAGGAGAAGCTAAAAGTGCTGCGGATAAACTAGTAGAAAGAACGGCACCACCAGAAAATCTAGGGGAAAATGTGCCACATCGGAATCGCAAGCAGCTAATAAGTTAGCTAAAGTTCTATAGCTGAATGCCAGTACACGAAGAAAAATTGCTATTTGATAACAAGATGACAGTCAACTCACATAAACTGTTGAAATCGCGTTCCGGGCGGTGATACTTCAAGAGCAGTAGATGAAGAACACTACCATAGAAATCCTCTTGAAACGTTCGCATTATATGTGCTTCCTGATAAAAGGTATGTGGACTGACAAAGAGAAACATACAACCGACCGTGTGGAATTTTTAAAGTATGGATTCCAACCGATGCTGACCACTGATTTTGCTATCGGATGTTCATCAACTTTAGCCCAAGCGAAGTAAATACCGTTAGTAACTGAGGAGGGGAGTTGGGAGACAGTGTACGGGTCTAAGTTGGCTGCAAAAGAAGACTTCTCTAATATAAGGAAAACCCACCTGTGGGTATACCCAACTGTTTTGAACCCCTACCAAAGCCGTGCACGACTGTACCAGCAACGTATAACAGGGAACCGGGTCTGACTTCGAATACCATATCGTTAAGGGGACTAGGATGAAAGCAGATAATTATCTTGCGAGCTGAAACAATAAGCAAGGATAGACTTTTGACAATTGTCCTAATCCATTGAAGGACAAGGAAGAACACAAGAACGTGAGAACAGAACAAATATAAATGTATGATGATCATTTACCAAACTGCTCATGGGACGCTGCTCAAACCTGACTTATTATGATCGCTGTCGAAAACTCCAGCTGGATCCACTTTGGCTGAGACGCTTAAAGAACAACCTCGTTCTCTTCTACAACATTGTAAACCAACGAATTTACGCAGACAGCACCGCACTTGAACTGCGGAAGACTGCAGTCTACCCCACACGTAATGGCGGCTACTTGATACGTACAAACCTTTCAAGTCATAAAATTCGATCGAATTTCTTCTTAGTGAGATACACTTATTTGTGGAACAAACTACCCCTACAGATACGCATGTGTACAAGCCATGTCACTTTTCGAAATCTACTTCAGACCTTCTTCACTATACCAAATGCTCTGAAGATATTTGGCTCACAGCAAACACTAGAAACATTGACAGAAGTTGGTATAAAAAACATTTGACAATAGCTTACAGCTAGCTTGCCCACTACAGGTCATTACATAGCATACCAAATCCTGTGTCTTTGCAGCCTAATAGTCCCTTCGTTTACTATCTACTCCTGACGATACAAACATCCGTAAATTTTACATATGAGTTGCGCGGGTCTAGGACTCAAGGAAAAGTAATCATGATCCGAAATGCTATCAGTAAACTTTTATTTAATGTTATGAAACGTGTTCACTATACACATGATCGCTCCCACTTATGGGGCCATGTACCGTCCGTCGGTAAATATACAAATTTATTTATTTATTTAATGCTCAAGAATGAAGACGAATGAGTGGCCAATGTAGCTAATTTTTAGGTCTTTGGTTCTTCGTCATGAGGCCGTGAGGATCAGACGCCTAAAAGTCCGAGCGATAAAATAACTAACGTACTCAAAAGCAGTCAGAAATAACTCATGGACCTTTGGGTGAGGAGGTGCCCTTTAGTTTATTACTAAAAAACATCCAACGTACCCCAACCAGTGATTCACAACCCTAGCTATATCGTCTGTTAGATTATGCTAATAAACATTCACATTTTAATATTTCAGGTAGCCGACTGCACTGCAGAACAGCACTGCACGTGGAACAGTATGAAATGTATACAACTCATTTTTCGATCATTAATAGATGTTAGCAGAAGATGAGAAACACACTTCAGCTAACTGTGCTGCAGTAGAAAAGGTAAGATATATAATAAGGCGTGATATTAAATATAACAGAATATGAAACATAAAAAGCAAGTAATAATATGTTAAGTGTAATATTATCCATGCAGTGTGAAGTCGTTGAGGGAAGGAGAAGCGAAGCGGGAAGGGACAAAGAAACTCACAACACCAACGACAATGAGGTCGACTCTTCACCATGTCAACTAGTGTATCCAACTAAACTAGCCCGGCAGTTGGATGCACCAACTGACGCCAACTTCGAAGTGGGGAACTTCATTCCTCTTCATTAAGTTATCGCTTGACCTCCCCTCCTCTTCCATCCAAATCTCTGGAGCGCAAACAATACACGTCGCGGGAGTTGTTGGGCTGGCATGCGCAACATGTGGTCAAGCCATCGGGATCTGGTGAGTAAAATAACGGTGCTGACCAGTCCACTAGTTCTTCCTGCACCAAATACATGGCGCCAAACACGCTCATTGCTCATACGGTGTTCCCACTATGCATGAGCTAAGCTGCGAAGACATCGATACTCAAACGTCTGTCGATATGATAAGGCAGGTTTCGTAACCGTACAGAAGGGTTGAACGGACGGCTGCATCGTAAACTCTGCGCTTCAAAAGCGAGTGATGTCGCGCCAGCGTCATAGTTTACTGAGATTGGCAAGAGCACCTCGGGCTTTTGCTATAACATTTGTGATCTCACCTTCGATTCCACCGGCGCTAATACAGCCGCCAATGTACCTGAATTTTGGACGAACTCTGGCTGACCCCCACCAAACGTCAGCGCAGGAGGAGGTCCCTGCCAATCTTGGAGAAGAACTTTGCATTTCGATAGCCCAAAACGATTGACAGCCACTGCGAATCGGTCCAGTGCTGCATGGCACATTTGGGAGCTGCCACAGATAAGCGCACCAAGTCGATCATCAGAAAGTAGCTTCACGCCTTGTAGGTAATACCCAGGAAATGCTATTTCTATAACTTAGTCGACGGCATAGTTAAAAACAATGGTGACAACCGGTAACCTTGTCTCACACTGTTGGATATTAAAGTGCGGCGACAGTTTGATATAAGCCCTCACTCTGTCCGAAGTATGCGCGTAGAGCTCTGACAATGTTCATGTATTTCTCGTGTAAACCTTTCCTTAGCAGACAGTTCCAAAGAGCACATCGATCGACTGAATCGAATGCAGCTTTGGTATCAAGAAAGACGACTATGGTAGGTCACCAATAGATATGGCGGTGTTCAAACAATTGGCACAAGGTAAAGATGTGGTCAATGCAGCTTTGATTTCAGCGAAATCCGGCTTGCTCCCCACGAATCTAGCTTTCACGGGTGCTAGTAACTAGAACGACAGAGGCACGTTAGAGAGACGCAATTGAGATCAGACTGATTCCTCTATGACTGCCGCATTCAGAAAGTGAGCTTTCTTTAAAAATGGGGACTATAACGTGGTTCCAGTCTGTTGACACAGTCTCCTACTCCCACAGCTTCAATAGTAAGTTGTGTAAATCATCCACAAGAGCAAGTCCCCCGAATTTGAAGAGGAATGGAGGAAGTCTGTCTGCTCCTGCGGCCTTATTCACTTGCAACAGTCTGATGTCACGTTCGACTTCTGTGCGTAAAGGTGGGTCCAGGGGGACGACCTAGGGAGGACAATCATTTGCCGATGGAGAAGCTGGTAACTCTGGTTGACTAAACTGTTGCTCCAAGTGCTCAGCCCAACGTTCCAAGCGTTTTGAGAAACTGTGGATTGGCCGTCCACTTTCGTTGCGCCGAGTCTCGGTAATCTAACGGCTCCTGCAGATGGAATAATTTCCAATGGTTAATGAGGACAGCGGATGTCTATATTGCGATGCACGATGAGACCACCAGTTTCGCGGTCTCTCACCAGACTAGCACAGAGTTTTACCCTGAGGCTTTTGCGGGGCTCGTGTTCACTCCCAGCCGGAATGTATCGGCGAGCATCCATAAGTTCCAGAGACCGTGTAGAGACAGAATTTCTGGGTTAGCTATTTGACTTAACACATGAAGATATGCCTGCTGCTAATAGCGCCTGAGGATATGAGAATAATATGAACAATCCTTAACTCTGCTCAGTGAGCGTTTACTAAATCCGCATAACAGCGTATTTTATAAAGCATTCAGAAAATCCGACTTCTCGTTGGTTGGTATCTATGTGCTCACAGCGCCGTTGCGGACTTCGCCAAAACGCACTCGTAAGTCGGCACATACAACTGCGTGGTCGAAGTCCACGCTCATGCACCAAATCGAGCGACAGTTTGGACACAGCCACTCCGGTGGTAACTGATCGCGACATGATCGATTTGCGTTCATGGCTAGTCCGAGGCTTGTGGACGTTTTGTCACACTTCTGTGGGTGCTGTATCGAAAGTTAGAGCCCGTGAGAAACAGACGAGTACCTTTACACATGTGCATCAACCATTCACCGTTACAATTACGGGAGTCTGCAGCGTGTTGGCCGCCCAAATGAAGCTCATCGGTGGACAATTTTCCAACCTGGGTGTTCAGATAGTCAGCAAGCACCACAGTATCCGCACTCTTTCTGAGACGAAGGAGCTTGTTCAATTGGTGATAGAATTCATCTTTCACCGAGTTAGCGCTACAGTTCGTGAGGGCATAGATCGCAATGACCAACGGGCACCGTTTGTCCCATGCGATTTCGAAGCTTTGAACGCGTCAACCAACGTGATGACGCACATCCGGCTGTTGAGCTGAATCCAGTCAATTAGGCAATTTCAGTCCGGGGAATCAGAGCAATGCCCACACTGCCCTGACTAGCACTTGAAGCTACGTCATCTCCAGACAAGTGCTGCCAGCGTCGCATGTGGGGAATAGCAAAGTAAGCACAGAGTTCGAATCTTGCAGGCGGCTTTCCGATAAGCAGCAGATATCGATTGATAGGGTCTCTAATATTCGGGCAAGTATTATCTGTTGGCCAATCTGTAACAAGGTGCGCAAGTTGAGGCATGCCAGTCTTAGGGGAGATCGAGGGATCCAAATAGGAATGAACTGACGTTGTCCTCTCTGTTGAAGATGGGGTTGAGTCTGACGAGAGCCACCAACAGCGATTTGACATAGCAGAGAGGCTGATTCGAAAACAGGAAGCTGGAATCGACACGTTGCAAGCAAACATCGATGTGTCACATTCACAATTCGAGCATTATGTGTGTAACACTAAAATTGCTATAAACACATGCTTATTTACAAACGGGAGGAACAGGTGATGCGGGGGGCCCAGGCTAGACGATGTACTCCGTATCGTTGGTATACCATCTTTCGTTGGCATCCAAAAAATTCTATCGAGTTGGCTGCTGAAAGAACGTAAGCGTATTGCACCAGAAGAGTTTTGCACGACCGATTTTAGTGGGGTTTAAGAACCTGAAGTATCGGGAGCTCCTTCGTAAGCGAGAGGGCCTGTTGGTTAGTCAAACTTATGATGCGCTGACAGTACGGATAACCAAAGCAGCTACTTCCAAAATCACAAGACAAAGGCCTCTGGCGAAACTTGCATGGAGCACCCGGAAGACAGAATGTACAGCCAAAAGATAGGGACAAAATAAAAAGTTCATGAGAAAAGATCTAATTGTAAGCTCCTGATTATAGCAACTATTAGATGCGCTGTTCAAGTAGTGCGCTTACTATAGGGCTTCAAGGCACGTCATTTTGATTGGTGCACTTCAAGCTAAAACGATGCCACTGGCTTACTCTCAT